TTCCAATGTTTAACCACTCTTTCAGTAAAGACATTTTTCCTCATGTTCAATCTAAACCTCCCCTGGTGCAACTTGAGGCCATTTCCTCTCGTCCTGTCGCTTGTTACTTGGGAGAAAAGACCAACACCCACCTCGCTACAACCTCCTTTCAGGCAGTTGTAGAGAGCGATGAGGTCTCCCCTCAGCCTCCTTTTCTCCAGGCTAAACAGTCCCAGTTCCCTCAGCCGCTCCTCATAAGATACTCATAAGATACTGGATTGTTTCACTGGACTACACAAACCAGGAAATAATTACCTCGCAATTTACATAGAAAGCACACACAATGGACAGAAAGCTACTCATACAAAAGGACTTTAAGGGCACAAGAGCACACGGTACAAACTGGGCCTGGATAAAGTCAAACTGAAACTATAAATTATTTCCAACCATCTAACTTGTTGACTGGGAGTCGCTATTTCTAACCACACGCCGCCCACTCACACAAGGGCTACCGCTGGGGACCTTACCCGATAAGAGCCACGCGGTGCTGGACGTACTGTGTCGCATGCCCCATTCCAAGAGGGAACATAGCTCGGCTCTCTGGATCTACTTTAGCAACACTTGGGGGCAGCTGACGGACTGCAGTCCCTGAGGGTTTCAGGAGTGAAATAGCAGATCGAAACATGGCCCCAGCAGTATCAATGAAGTCAGAGTGGTTTACATTGCTCCACTGAAAAAAAACCCAAATCTTTAGGTGTTAACCCAAATGAGACATATAAAAGAATCCAGTTGAAAAAAATCTGAATGAGCTCCAAATACTGAATTTTAACCACTCGGACAAAATTATACAGCATAAGAAACTACCTTCATTGTTTTAGGACATACAAGTTTCCAACTAGGATGAGCCTACCCTTCCCACTTTTGGAAATTTAGTTCAACTTCTTCTGTGACTTTCAGAACTAACCTAATTCAGTCCCAAGGGATCATCCTTTCTCAGCTAAGTGCCTTTTTAATATCATCCTCACCTGAGGAAGGAACTTGAGAATCCACCTCCCCCATTACTCTCCTTTAAGCTGTAGGATTCCGCTGTATTTCTCATGATTACAACCAAGTCAGCCTCATCTGCCACAAGGCTGATACTCACAAAGGCAGAGTTGATGCTATCCACAAAACTTTCCTCATCCATAGCGAGAAGTTCTGATGCATGTTCGTGAGATGTAGACCAGACCAGAGAGCTCGCAGTGTCAGAC